CACCATGGTGACACTGTACTGCTAGGGTGACAGTATGTAAAAAAATAAAATAAAATAAAAAATAATAATATAAAAAAATAAAATAAAAATGTAAACAAAATGTTTAAAAATTATAATTTTTGCTTATAAACTAATTTGGATTTTTTTTTTTTACTAAAAAGATAACGGAATAAATTTTGGCTAAGATTTATGATGAAATATTATTTATTTGCAAAATTTTATAAAAAAAACACTTTTTTTCAAAATTTTTGGACATTTCATTTACATAGCAAAAAAAAAACAAATCCCAGTGGTGAATAAATACCACCAAAATAAAGCTTTATCTGTCTCAAAAAAATGGTAAAAAATTCATTTGGGTACAGTGTTGCATGACCCGCGCAATTGTCATTCAAAGTGTGATAGCGCTAAAAGCTGAAAATTGCCCTGGTCAGGAAGGGGGTAAAAGTGTCCGGACAGGAAGTGGTTAAAGAGTGAATTATATATGCAGTGGTTGTAATACAGCCCAAATACACTATATTGCCAAAAGTATTAGGCCACCTGCCTTGCACGTACATGAACTTTAATGGCATCCCAGTCTTAGTCCATAGGGTTCAATATTGAGTTGGCCCACCCTTTGCAGCTATAACAGCTTCAACTCTTCTGGGAAGGCTGTCCACAAGGTTTAGGAGTGCATCTATGGGAATGTTTGACCATTCTTCCAGAAGTGCATTTGTGATGTCAGGCACTGATGTTGGATGAGAAGGTCTGGCTCACAGTCTCCGCTCTAATTCATCCCAAAGGTGTTCTATCGGGTTGAGGTCAGGACTCTGTGCAGGCCAGTCAAGTTCATCCACCCCAAACTCGTTCATCCATGTCTTTATGGACCTTGCTTTGTGCACTGGTGTGCAGTCATGTTGGAACAGGAAGGGGCCATCCCCAAACTGTTCCCACAAAGTTGGGAGCATGAAATTGTCCAAAATGTCTTGGTATGCTGACGCCTTAACAGTTCCCTTCACTGGAACTAAGGGGCCAAGCCCAACCCCTGAAAAACAACCCCACAACATAATCCCCCTCCACCAAACTTTACACTTGGCACAATGCAGTCAGGAAAGTACCGTTCTCCTAGCAATCACCAAACCCAGACATGTCCATCAGATTGCCAGACAGAGAAACATGATTCGTCACTCCAGAGAACACGTCTCCACTGCTCTAGAGTCCAGTGGCAGCGTGCTTTACACCACTGCATCCGATGCTTTGCATTGCACTTGGTGATGTAAGGCTTGGATGCAGCTTCTTGGCCATGGAAACCCATTCCATGAAGCTCTCTATACACTGTTGTTGTGCTAATCTGAAGGCCACATGAGGTTTGGAGGTCTTTAGCTATTGAGTCTGCAGGCAGTCGGTGACTTCTGTGCACTGTGTGCTTCAGCATTCGCTGACCCCGCTCTCATTTTACATGGCCTACCACTTTGTGGCTGAGTTGCTCTTGTTCCCAGTTGCTTCCACTTTCTTATAATTCTACAGTTGACCATGGAATATTTAGTAGCAAGGAAATTTCATGGATGGACTTATTACACAGGTGGTAACCTATCACGGTACCACGTTTGAATTCACTGAGCTCCTGAAGCGACCCATTCTTTCACAAATGTTTGTAGAAGCAGTCTGCATGCCTAGGTGCTTGATTTATACACCTGTGGCCATGGAGGTGTTTAAAACACCTGAATACAATGATTTGGAGAGGTGTCCCAATACTTTTGGCAATATAGTGTATATAACAGTAGATATAAATATAAAGTAGATCTACAGCCAAAACGTGTTCTTTTTTATGGGTGGGGAAAGGTTAGATCAGAGTACAGCTAGTACTACACTTCCAGCGCTCTGACAGGAGAGATGCTGTCTTCACACACAGCAGCAGTTCTGCCTGCCCCTCTCCTCTGCTGTTCAATCACAGATGGTTTTGTATTTTGTTCATGGGTTCACATAAAACAAAGCACTCTGTGATTGGGCAGGAGGAGGAGAGGGGTGGGCACAGCTGCTTTATGCGTCAGAGGGCCAGAATGATAGCAAAAGCTATGTTCCCAGTGCTGTCTAAAAATACAAATCATAAGTAAAAGAGATGAGTCCACAAGGTGGCATGCACCTCATTGGCCTTAGCCCCTAGTAATTCATCACATTGTACAAAGTGGCTGGATTCCTGAAGTTCAGCTTTAACACATTGAGCACAATCAAATAAACATTCTCCAGTAAACTATTTGTTAAAATGCTACTGGTTCCTGCTCTCTCGGTACTGCTTCCCTGAACTTTTGATCTTCACAGGAAAGAGTAAACAGTGGATAGTGCAGTCTCCAGTCAGTCTATTAGTTTAGAGAAATAAGGGGAGAGGAGGAGGGAAGAGCAAGGAAGAGCTTTACCATCCTAGGCTACAGGGCTGTGTGTTTCTATTGATGCACAAAGTGTAGGAAGACATATCTCTAGTACCTGCATTCAAAGGTGGCTCCACTGGATACTGCAAGAGAAAGTAGACACCCTGAATCAAGAAACCTGGAGCGGTTATGGCACCAGCTTAAACTCGAACATAAGCAAGGATTAAAAGATAAAGAAGCTGCATAATCAATAAGTCATTAAATCAACTGCTGAACGTACTTAAAACTGAGAGTTTACCTCTCACAGAGATCACAGTCCTCACCCTGTTAATGATAAGATAAGAGCTTTTCTCTCCAGATAAATAGCGCCATCTTTGTTCAGGCATCTTCTAGGGCACAGGTGTCAAACTGACGGCCCTCCAGCTGTTGCCAAACTACAAGTCCCATGAGGCATTGCAAGATTGGCAGTTACCAGCATGACTCCGAAAGGCAGAGGCTGCCAGTTTGATAGCCCTGATCTAGGGTCACCATCAATTCTGTGGGCCAACATGCAGATTATTTTAAATCTGTGGGCAGCACAGTGTCTAAATGGTTAGCACTTCCGCCTGGCAATACTAGGGTCGTTGGTTCAAATCCCAGCCACAGCACCTCCTGCCTGGAGTTTGCATGTTCTCCCTGTGCCTGCGTGGGTTTTCTCCCACAAAGACATGCTGATAGGTTAATTGGATCCTGTCTAAATTGGCCCTTGTATATGAATGTGAGTTAGGGACCTTAGATTGTACACCCCTTGAGGGTTAGGGACTGATGTGAATGTACAATATATATGTAAAGCGCTGCGTAAATTGATGGCGCTATATAAGTACCTGAAATAAATAAATAAAAAAAATAAATAAATTCTGGTGCCCGTGTCTGACACAGATTGGCCCCTGCTGCAGCCTCTCCCATTGTGACATGCTACAAAATTACAATGCACAGTCTGATCAATTCAACTGTGAATGCTTATGCACAACCATTTACAAACCATGGCTTGAGAAATATGTTAGTGGGTATAAAAGACTGGGGTGTACGTTTATCATATGACGTCCGTTCAGAATTCAGTGATAAATGTTCTGTAGTCACTGCAGACATCAAAGCACCACAGTTATTTCTACCGTAGCAGCAAATCATGAACCATCTATAAACATTTTATTATCAAAAGGGTATTGGTCAAATGCCTCAGCAAGAGCACCAACAAAGCATACTGCCATTTCTGGATCATTTAGTATGTATGGGGTATGTAGGTAGTCAATGACATTGTCACATACACAAGTATTTTTGCTTGGCAAAGCCCTGATCCCTTGATAAACACAACCATCCAAAATCAGTTTCCAGCCAGGATTATGAAGACACGAGTCCTAATAGTGAGATATTGACCTTGCTCTGCTGGAAAAGGTCATATTGTATATAGATGCCTCATTAGTTAGCAGGCCTTCATTGTTCACCGTTCAGCAATCAAATTCATATTTGTATTGTAATATGACATGCTTATCCTAAAATACTATCCAAAAATCAGGTTTATGCCAAACAGTGCATGCAACAGAAAACTATGGCATTTCACTTTGGACAAGTGTAGGATTTTCTGGGATTCATGCAGCCACCTCCTACAATTTCCTGTTTTTCTGAATATGTTCTGCTCTGTGAGCAATAATCATTAACCCTGTATCCGATTTGTAATGAGCATAGCTACTTTAGCTCAGAATATCACACACCCAGATCGCCAGCCTGCCAACATCTATTTATGTATACAAGGGGAATTTTACATCCTAAGGAGACCATACACTATACAATCTCCTTTAGATCTACCGTCAACTATGTAGTACGAGGGCCTGCCTGATTTGTGATAAAGCAATGAACTGATTAAGTGTATCCCCCAGGGGCGGACTGACAATTCCAACACTCGGGCACTGCCCGAGGACCCGGGGTCAGCAGGGGGCCCCACGAAATGCCCCTGGTACCTTTTTCATAGGCCTTTTTTGAGTGTGGGCAAGGACACAGGGGCCATATGATCCCCTATTGCCTGGGGGCCCCATGAGTTGTCAGTCTGCCCCTGGTATCCCCATATTACATAGTTTTTGTAAATTAAAAAAGATTGTACAAAAGCTGACTACACATTATCCAATTTTCTTGTTCAATTTCCTTTAGATTTACCTTCAGTTATATAGTGCAAGGGTCTGCCTGACTGCATACAAATTGAAAGTGTTTAGGTCAGACCTCATATTCTATGGTTTTGGTAAATCTAAAGGAAATTATACAACAAAAATTGTGTAATGTGTAGCCAGCTTTAGGCTTTAAGCTGGCCATACACTATACAATCTGGTTGTACAATTTAAAATTAGACTGCATAGTATACGGCAGCCTAAAGATGGCCATACACTGTACAATCTAAATGTGCAATCTCTGTATAATTTTCTATGTAATATAGGGACAGACCCCAAACGATCCTTTGAATATTTGTATCAGGCTGGCCCGCATACTACAAAGCTAATGGCAAATCTGACATTAATTGTACAATCAGACTGTATAGTGTATGGTCACCTTTAGGCCTCCTTTTAGCTGCAACCATTGGATTCCAGTGGTAAGAATCATTGGCTTATTGTGGCTGGAATGACAAGTGCATGCGAATAGCGGCAGCGCTCAGCCTGTACAAAGTATTGACAAGCTGACAGCGGCCATCGTGTTCACATGTAGCCTCACACCAACCAGGTACATGCACTTAGGGATTGGTGTCCGAGCACTGAGATGTATCCAGGCTCAGACCAGGGGCAGACTGATAACTCATGGGGCTCCTGGGCAATAGGGGATCCTTGCCCAAACTCAAAAAAGCCTATGAAAAAGGTACCAGGGGCATCTCATGGGGCTCCCTACTGACCCCGGGCCCTCGGGCAGTGGCCGAGTTTACAAATGGTCAGTCTGCCCCTGGCTCAGACACACATCCCTAACCACAAATACCCCCTTTGTACTGGCTGAGAGTCCGCCGCTATTCGCATGCACCTATCATCATGTTGTAAAGTGCTGCGCAAACTGCTGGGCGCCATATAAATCCTATAAATTAATAATTTCAGCCTCAGGAATCCACTGATTCTTGCCACTGGAATCCAATAGATGCAATTAAACATCTGTGTGAAGGAGGCCTAGACACTAGGCCGGCCATACATGGGTCGATTTTCGAACGATTTTTCATTCAAAAATCGAACCTAAGAATAATCGGCCGATATTCGCTCTGCAAGTGGGGCAATGGCACCGGCCAATTTTCGTGGTTTCCTCACCATTTCGTTTATCGGGCATGCTGGAAAATTCGTGAAAAACTACGGTTTTTCGGAATCATTGGTGGCACCATCACATTACAGAACAAACAATGTTTTCGATTTTTGATTGAAAAATCATTCAGAATTCGACCTATGTATGGCCTGCTTTAGTCTGCTTCCAAATGACCTGAAAACAGACAAATGATATACTCTATAAACTATGAAACTCTGCACCCAATCAGAAGAAGAATACATTAAAGCCATCAAAACCTTCATCATAGAGCCTTTACGTTTGGTAACCTCCAATAATTACATTTAAGCAAGTGGAGCTGATGATGGATGTGCCAGTGCGGCATGGGTCAGCACCAGGGGCGGACTGACAACTCATGGGGCCCCCGGGCAATAGGGGGTCATGGGGCCCCTGTGTCCTTGCCCAAACTCAAAAAAGCCTATGAAAAATGTACCAGGGGCATCTCATGGGGCCCTCTACTGACCCTGGGCCCTTGGGCAGTGCCCGAGTTTCCAAATGGTCAGTCCACCCCTGATCAGCACATACGCTAGTACTTCTGAGTGGAACCACATATAAAAATATAAAAGGGTGACAACACTGCTGTCCATACAGTGCACAGATAGACAGAGTTGTCACTCTACTAGTGGAAGTGTGGGGAAGGAGAATTTTGGTAAAAGTTTATAATGAAAGAGAAGCAGAACATAGAAGATGAGTGAGAAGAAGGTATAAAATACGGAGAGATAGGCCTCACAAAACTGCAAATGCGCAGAATGACCTTGGCCAATTCTAAATGAGTAAAGGCCGAGGTTATTCTGTGAATGTGCCACATGCCACATGAATGACTCATTCAGGGCTGACAGCAGAGGTGGTGCAGCCAGCGACATATTGTTGACATTTACACATCAGCCCAGAGCAGGGGCAGTGGTGAGAAAGGTCCATTTTTGCTGTATAGTGCGCAAATGTTACAGCGTATGGGTGACTTATCATGTAGTATTTTGCTGCCAGCAACTTATTACATAAAAGTTAGCACAAACCACATGTGTGCAGCAGAAAATATTTTTTATCCAGTGCAAAAAAAAAAAAAAAAAAGCAGGTCATCGCACATATAGTGAATGAGCCCTTAGGCCTCATGCACTCTGAGCGTTAACAATGCTGCTTTTAGGAGCATCTGGCGTCTCTCTTTTTTTTTTCTGCCTCTAAACGCCCCTCCATGCACACATAGGCATTTGGAGGAATTTAAAGGCAGAAAAAAAAACTGCCAGTGTGTCCAGTAGAAAAAGTACTTTGGCAGAAAAAAACCCTTGACGCCTGTAAACGCTAGGTGTGTTTAGCACTTAGGCATCAATTCATTTCAAAGGCCAGAACAAATTAGTATTCTCACCAATAAGATGAAATAACACCCAGGACCTTGACATGCCTAAATGTGCCTCAATGCGTTTACATGTGTCAAGTGTTTTTTCTGCCAAAGCAGAGGAAAGGCGTTTAGGAGAGCTGGGCAAACGCCTTGTGTTCATGAGGCCTTAAAGTAGAATTTTGGAATAAGCCTACTTAATCTTCAAAAAAATACTCCATCCTCCCTCCTTACATCTATGCTGACTAACTACTATTAAAAAGACGTATATACTTGCCTATTTTCAGCCTACTTCGGTTCAGTCATGTGATCTCCCCTGTGTCAGTCAGGAGCAGCTGCAGGGGAGAGGAGAGAGCAATCAACAACAGCTGGGAATGCCTGGAGTGGTGACATCACCTATAGGCAGCTATGGCCAATCTGTTGTTGGTGCTCCCTCCTCTCCCCTGCAGCTGCCGCTGACTGACACAGAGGAGCCGGATCTCAAGACCGGACTGAAGTAGGCTGAAAATAGGTAAGTATATATATTAGAGTTGCACCAATATTGATATCGATACTAAGCACGAAGACTTGTACCCATGCAAATACTCTGATACCTGAAACCGATACCTTTGCGGTGCGATTTGAACCCACACCATATGAATGCGCTCAAATTGCACTGCAAAGAATCGCATGTGATTTGAACTGAAATTGCGCTACTTCAGCTGAAGTAGTAGTGCAAATCCTGTCTGAATCACATGCAGTTTCTGTGCTGGTGTGGTGTGATTTGCACCATTCCTTTTGTATGGTTCAAATCGCACCACAAATCACACTGTACCCAAAGGGAAACAGCATGTGATTGGGATAGCAATCGCACTGCATTCCTGTTAAAATCACATGTGATGCTTTACATTGCGGTCTGAGCCCACTCATTTTGTATGGGCTCAAATCGCACTGCAAAGGTATCAGTAATCGGTGTCGGCAAAGTATTGATACTCGTACTTGCTGATTAAAAAGAATCGGTATTGTTGCACCCCTAATATACATCTTTCTTACACAAGTTAGTCTGTATAGATGTTAGGAGGGGGAAGGGAGTGTTTTTAAAGGATAAGTTCACCTTCTGGACAAAAATAATAAATGCACATTTTTTTGCAGGTAAAAAAAAGCATTGCACCAGTGATCAGTAGATCGCTGATGCCATGCAGGTCTCCTGCAGACCTGTCAGAATATCTGCTTGCTGTACGGAATGTACGGGATGTCCAGTCAAGCAGATATACTGACAGGAAGCTTCAGTGAACTACCACGGAACCTCCACAGCGCCTTGGTAGCTCATTGAAAACTACAAGTCGCTAAGGATGCTGGGACTTGTAGGCACTCCTTCACAGACCTCTGTGACTGAGTGACGTGGCTGTGTGGGCGGAGCCCCGCACGGCCGCACTGTTTTCAAATCTGACAGGTAGTACGGGGAGACTTCTCTCCATATTATCTGTCAGAGGGAGGAGGGCAGCGGCACGGCTATGGGAACATGTGACATGTTCCAACCCTAAGCCTGGGTTCACATATATGTGGTGCGGTATATCGCATGTGGTTCGCACAGGAACCGCATCATATTCCTGTGGAAATCACATGCGATTCATGTGTGGTGCGACTGGAGCCATACATTTTGTATGGCTCTAATCGCACCGCACCCACACCAAAAATGTGCAAGACCCTTTTTTGGGTCTGCGCTAGAATCGGATCGCATGGGTATTCACACCTATGTGATCTGATTCTGCACATCGCACAGCGTTTTGCAGACCGATTTCAGGGTGTTGTTAACCTAACCCCTAGACGCCAAGCGCATGCAAATATGCTGCCTCTCGACGTCTGGGCCTTGACGCTGAGCGGCCACAAATTTGCCTGCCATTAGAAAATACATATGTGCTGAGAGCAAATGCCCTGCACACTCCCAGCAGATATGTCCAGGGGCGGACTGACAACTCATGGGGCCCCCGGGCAATAGGGGATCATGGGGCCCCTGTGTCCCTGCCCAAACTCAAAAAAGCCTATGAAAAAAGGTACCAGGGGCATCTCATGGGGCCCGCTACTGACCTCGGGCCCTCGGGCAGTGCCCGAGTTTCCAAATGGTCAGTCCGCCCCTGCATATGTCCGTGACTCACGGAAAGGTCCCGATCTCCCCTTGTGATCAGGACCTTTATCGATCATGTGACCACCGTGACGGCGAATCACGGCGGTCACATGACCCTAAAACCCTGCCCCACCTCCCGGCTTCTGAAACTCTTAAAGTGCCAGGAGGCGTCGGCGTAAAGGGGTTAACATACACACCCGCAGCGGTTCGCATGAACGGGGTGTGATTCTGATGCACTGTGTAATTCGCACTGAAAACACTGCAAACTCTGCACCGCATCACTGTGAACCAGGGCTTAAAACGGGTGGAACATGTAACATGTTCCCAAAGGTGAACTTATCCTTTAAGACCAGTTAGGTAAACACTGGAATTCTTTAAAGTGGTAGTAAACCACAAATAAAAACAAAAAATTCCAAGAAAAATTTCCAAAAACAAAATGCATGCCTGCACCGCATACTAGCACATTATGAAGAACTTACCTGAAGACGAAGCCCCCACCGCTGTAGGCGCTTCCATCCTCACCCGGTCTTCCTTCTGGGTTTGTGGGCTTGGGCTGTGTGACTGGCCGAGCCACGAAGACGTCACTATCGTGCATGCCGTGGCACAATGGCCAGTGGGAGCGCAGTGCGCATGTACTGGTGACGTCACCAGCTGCTACTGTATTAAATGTCTACTAAACGGTGCACATTTAGGAGATATTTACTGAACCTACAGGTAAGCCATGGGCCTTTACTACCACAAGCCGGAAGCATGCACAGAAGGTGACAACGCTGCTGCTCCATACACAGGCAGCGTTGTCACCCTATTAACAGAAGTGGAGTTTTGATAAAAGTTCAGTAAAACAGCACAGAGTGGGAAGAAGGTATACAATAGGGCTCATTGGATGGGATAAAGTTTAAAGATCCTTAATGTAGCCCCCCAGGCAGGCAGGCAGGGGGGAGCATGTAGTTCTCCCCCCAGAAGCTGACAAGCCATGCCTGTGTACTGAGCAGCCATGGCTGTCATCTGACAGCTGGAAGAGCAATGTCAGCGGTGCTGATGAGCTCCCCATCCCAGCCCTCGGAGCTCCCTACCTTCTGTATGGCAGCTGGAAGACAGGATGGTGTTGGGAGGTCTGAAGATGTAAGGCAGGTAACGAGAAAAGCATTTCATCTTCAATGAAAGGGGCAGCCCGTTCAATCCATCAGGACCGTCATGTCAGGCAGTGGCAGGCATGCTGAGCCGCTGACACAGGCAGTCGTGTCGCCGGGGCTGTGCACGTCTCCGGTCCAGGCAGACTCCATCCTTCCTTCACAGCTCCAGCACAACGTCAGCCTCCCATTCCTACAAGAGGACTGCTCCAAGTCTCAGGGCTCCGGCAGGCTGGCCAGGCTCCCTCTTCATTGGCTGGAGCTGTGTGGAGCAGGATTTGCTGACTAAGTCAGTGCTGCTTGTAAAAACACACCGCCATCCATCCCCTCTGTGTAATCTGCTTCCTCCAGCCGTCCTCCACCCTGGGGAAAATGAGGCAGTGGTGTCCTGAGGGTGCTGCTGCCACCAGGCACAAGGGACAGGACATCCCCATCCATGCTCACTTGTATGCCCCTCACAGCACAACTAAAGGTCAAACTTGATTTTTTTGTTTTCATTTTTTTGGCTAGCATAACCACTTGAGCTCCGGAAGGTTTTACCCCCTTCATGAACAGACCATGTTTTGCTATATTATTTGAGTTACTTTAAGTCGCGCAATTTCAAAGTCAAGCTTGATGTGACCGTAGACTGAAAAAAGTCCCTGACCCTTTCTCAAAAAAATGCACCAGGTGAAAACGCGGAGATGTGAGCATGTCCCATAGGAAATCATGTTAAATGGACTGATAAAAAAAGAAAAAAATGAAAAAAAAACCAACCAATGTAGAAAACGCTTTGGTGTGAACCTAGGGTCAGACGATGAAAAGCCGAAAATTCTACCTGAGTTTATTTTAAATCGCACTGTGTCCGGCCCGCACATGTGATAGAAAAAGCTGCAGGTACGCACATCATACGAATCAGATGTGGTTCAAAGCGCGTTGGATTGGCATATACGTGAACCAGGTCTTAGC